GTGTTCCTGGCTCCCTATCTCTGTGACTCTGTCCCTGTCCTTGCCTCTATTTCTCTGGGTTTTTTTGCTGTGTCTCCGTCTATGCCTGTGGCCAAACTGTGACCCTCTCTGGGTCTTGGTGTCCCTCTTTCCGTGGTGTCTGTCTCATCAGTGTTCCTTGGCCTCTTGCCGGAGGTCCCATACATTGCTGTTTGTGTCTCCCTGACTCTCTCCCTCTTCTTGCCTCTATTTGTCTCTGTGGCTCTCTCTCGGTCGCTCTCCATCGGGCTGTGACTCTGGGCCTCCGTGTCCCTCTGTGTCTTTCTCTTTGAGGGTCAGTCTCTGTCTCCCGCACCCCTCAGCCCTCCTTCTCCCCGTGCCTCTGTGTCTACGAACCTCCCTGTGCTCGCCTCTTCCTCCTCTGTGCCCGGCCCTCTCTCTGCCCCACTCCCTGGCTCTGCCAGCGTCTCCCTCGGTCGCTGGGGGTCTCTCTGAATGTTTGAGCTCATGTGTCTCTCACCCCCACCCGCCCCCCATCTTTACCCCTTTCTCACCCTTCGGCTAGGAACCTCTCTCTCCGTGCCTGGGGGTCTCCCCGTCCCTCCACGTCCCTCTCTGGCCCTGGAAAACCCTGTGCATCCCCGTGCCTCCGAACGTCGGCCCTGCCGGGCTCCGGTCTCCGCTCTGTCGCTCCGCCCGCGTCCCCACCCCTCTCCAGTAGCGCCCTGGCCCTCCCCCAACTCCCGAGCGCGTCCGGTTCCCGGCTCCCTGAGCCCCTCTTTGTTGCCAAGGGCAACCACGGCCCACCCCGCGCTGCGGAGTGCGGTGCATCCTGGGATTTGGAGTCTGAGCCTGAGGACTACCTGTTGTGGCGACGCGGCCGAGAACTTCCTCTCCCGGCGTGCCCCGCGAGGCGGAGGCGGGGCGCGGGGCGCGCGGCGGCGCCTGGGGACTCGGCCCACCGCACCTTCTTCGGAAATTTTGGGGGTCCGGGGTCGGCTTCTTGAAGCCGAAAGGGAGGTGAGGGAATCCGACTCTTCTCCAAACCCCTCAGAAGTGGGGTGCCCTTGCCTACCAGCCACCTCCAGGCGTCCGGCCTGCCCAAGGGCAAGGATATAGGGTCGGGGTGGCCCTGGAAACAGACCCAGGGAATCCCGCGTTGCTTTGCTTGGCTGCTTTTGCCGCATCACCAACACATCACCCCCGAATACTGGAGCTGTTCTCCCTGGTCCCTTCCAGAGGGGTTCAAGCGGGGGTGGGGAGCGAGACGCCCTTGGAGGAGGCAGGCATTGGTGTGGGTCGGAATTCCGGGGTGGGCACTGCAGATATCAAAAGGAGGCTTCTCCTGGAAAAGGAATGTATCTATTCCCGTTAGCCCTTCCTTCTCTTCCGGGGGGGGGGCCTCCCTCCCTTCCTCCCTCCCTTCCTCCCTCCCTCGACATATCGCTTGCCATTGCTTTTGCTGGTGTTAAGTGCAGAAAATGGGTTGCGTGATCCTGGGATTTTTGCGGGTTTATGTATTTGTGATTCTCCTCAGGCAACAGGACCTTCTCTGGGACATAGATTCATTGTAGGAGTAATTCGTTTGCTCTTTATCAAGGTCTTCTATAGACAGGTTGTGTCAGGGAGCTTGGAACTGAGAGTAAGATGGAGCTGAGGGTGGGAATGTAGGCAGCGTCAGATCCTGAAGGCCCAGACGAGGAGCTTTGGGATCACCTGCAGGCAGATATGGATTTGAGCAGCGGAGGGCAGTGTCAGGGGTTAGAAGCATCCCCCTGCGGCCAGGGTGGGCAAGAGGTGGGCTAGTCAAGGAGGAGGCTGGGGTACTAACTCAAGACAAACAAAATGATACCTGAGCTGGGTCAGGAGCCGGGTCAGGAGCCTGGACAGACAGTGTCTGGTGAGCGACTGACAGAGCCAATGGGAAGAACCAGAGCCTGGGTTCGCAGGCTCAGGAGCCTATTACTGAGATGGGGAACCCGAGGAGTTGATTTCAGGAAGAAATGTTGTACTCAGATGGGGACACTACATTTCTGAAATGCTCATTGGATTCCAAGGAGGGACAAATCTTATCCATTTCAATCCTAACTAGTTATCCTGGCTTGAGAGAGTAAATTTGGGAGATCCAAAGGCCAAAGTTGTCTTGGCCCCAGCCCCCTCTTCCACCAGACCCAAGAATCTGGACCTTGCCCCCTCTCCTGGAGCCCTCCTCCTCAGCAATAAAGCAAGCACAGTTTTTCTTTTACCTTTATATTGATGTAAAAAAAAAAAAACACAAAAAACATCATGGATGTGGGAGTGAGGAAACAGACAAGTCTTCCCTCTGTGGTTGACAGCGGGAGCGGGGACTGATGGAATCAGAAGCTCCAGGGAATTAAAAAAAAAATAAAATATATATTTATACATTTATATATATGACATTACACGTGTGAGTCCCGGAGAAGCAGGAAGCAGCTACAGGAAGCAACTAGCATGCAGAAACACACGTTTGTGTGTGTTTGTGTGTGTTTACCACACTCAAGCAATGCAATTCAATTCCTCTGACTATGGCAACAGCAATCCCCACCTACCCAACCCAACCACCCCCAAGAAAAAGATGTTGAAAAGAAACTTCCCTTTTAGAAGAGGGCCACCCAAGTACATTTTGCCCTCGTGACCAGGAAAAGGAAAAAAAACAACAACAACAACAACCAAACAAACCCAGGCTCACATTGTGTTTAAGGCTGGCAATGGCCAACCTCTTCTCCCAGCAAAGGCAGTCCATGCTGTTTTTAACACTGAGGCAGGAGGGCCACATCCCTGCCCCCTATAAATACTTCAGACAGTTGTCCTTAAGACCGTGCAGTTCTTTGCTAGCCCCTTTTTTAATAACCCAGACAGCACTTGGGATGGAAAGCATTCACCCTTTACTTCCTTTAAGATGACCTCCAGGCAGTGGAATTTTAGTAAGCATGGCAAAAATTCTGATTAGTAAGCCTGGCAAAAGTTCCGGAGCCAATCTCAGGTGAGGCTGGGGGCCAGGCAGAGCCCAGGGACCCAGGGCCTGTGCTTTAAGCCTCAGGCCCACTGGAGATCACTGGCCTCCAGAGATTAAAGGGGACATGTACTGTACACCCCCCTCCACTGGGAGAAAGGGAGCCCCATCCCTAGGCACCCACCCCCACCCCCACAAACACACATGTACACACCAACTAAGGCACAGCCAGGGCGGGCAGGCATGCTTTGGCAATGAGGCCCCTCGGGAGGCCCAGGGTACGAACAGCTGCAAAGAGCGGGGTGGGATGTGGAGCTCAGCACCTTTGGAGGTGGGGGGGCAGTGGAGTGGTGGCAGAGAAGAAAGAAGTCTCAGAGCTCCCAAGGAAATCGGAAGAAAGAAACTGGGACAGAGATGGCCAGGATACAGGCAGATGAGAAAACAAACAAGAGAACCAGAATAGAGCCGAGAAACAAATAGGGAGGAAAGAAGAGGTGAAAACAGAAAGAGGCAAGCAGGCAAAACAGGATGTGGGCAACCCAACAAACAGGAAGGAAAGGCGAGAGCTACAGGAGAGAGGCGGCAGGAGCTAAGGGAACAGAGGCGAGCAGGATGAATCGGGAAGGAAATGGGAAAGGTAGGCGAGAGGGAGCCAGAAGAGGCAGTTAGGACTTGGGAAAGAAACCTCTGCGGGCAAGAGGGAATTGAGAGCTCCCGTCGTCACTGTTGTCGGAGCCTCAGACCCTAACGAAAACCAGGCGGGCCGAGTACACCAGGTCGGCCAAGTAAGCCAGCAGGTTGATGGCCGTCAAGATGGCCACGGCCAGTCGGCGGTCCCAGTTGCACACGTAGTAGGCGTGCCGGTTGCTGCAGCCCACATCCCATGACCGACGGGGCTGGCCACCGTGCTTCTCGCTGAACTGGTAGAGCGGCCAGAGAACAATAGCAGTGGCGTACAGAAGGACCGAGAGCAGGGCCAGGCCTGACAGGAAACTGGGGAAGGAGATGGGCAGCATGTTGGTGCAGTCGCCCAGGTTCAGCAGGATGGCCACGGCTGCCAGGATGAAGCAGATGGAGTACACAGCCACACACCACTCCAGGGCCGGCTGGTGCTGGTACAGGGAGGGGTTGCTGATGAAGGCGAAGATGATGCAGGCCACAAAGGTCTCCAGCACCTTGAGCAGGCCGGGCACGGTGGCCATGTAGCCGGTGATCTCCCCGGGGCGGGCCCGGGTCCAGGCCACTTCGGTGGCATAAGCCACACAAGCGATGCAAGAGAAGGCGGTGGCGGCAATGGCGTGGTCCCGGGAGCGGCCATGCGACAGGAACTGGACGTAGGTGGTGGGGTAGATAATGGAGGCCGACAGGCAGAAAAGGGCGGCGTAGCACGCATAGGTGATGGGGAAGTTTCTCCAGGACAAGGGGAAGCGGGACTGGAGCCCGCATAACTCGACAATGAGGATGATGAGGGTCACAGAGAAGCAGAAGCACCAAGTGAACATGGACCAGTCACCCATGGCCCCGGTCCAAGCACCCACATTGGCCACCAGGGAGAAGGCCACACAGGTGGACAGCAGCTGCAGCAGGCGGAGGAGGCCCAGGGGCTGGGTCAGTGCCCGAGGGGACCCCACGATGGTTGGGGAGCCCAGGCCTGAGGATGACGACGTGGTGGTTGTGATGGTCGTGCGGGTCACCGTCACCGGCATGGCTGGGAAGAAGGGAAAGGAAGTGTCCTATGACGGTTCCGAACGTGGGGAATCAGCCCTTCCTCCCCTGGGAACAAAGTAACCTGGACTCTAGCTGGGGGTGGAAACCCAGGGTGCAGGCTTTTCAGTTTTCAAAGTGGGACAGTTGCAGGCCTATGGGGATGAGTCGGTCACCAAGGTCCTAGCCCCCTCCTCCCTCTGGACTCGGTTTTCTACCTCTAATGTCAGAACCCAAGAGTCTAGGCCGTCTCTCTCCTTTCCTCTCTCTGCAACCCAACAACTGCAAAACCATCTATCTTTCTTCCCACCCTGGGCACTCAAAGCTGCCCTCATTCCCCTAGGGACTCAGCTATCCAGCCACTCAGGACTCTGCTCTAAAACCTCCCGGACCATGGTCAGAACGAGAGGCCCCGCTTCGTGAGCTCTACCTGCTCCCCCTGGCTACCCAGGGCTCTGCACCCCTGCTCCTGCACCCACCTGCATTTCCAGCCTCCAGACATTCAAGAGTCCAACCTCCAAGTGGGAACGTTCTCAGGGACCCACATGTGATCAGAGCTTCCAGCCAACCTCCCAGCCTGTCTCTGGAACTGGGTCTGAACTCTCGGGAACACACCCTCTCATGCCCACCCCCCACCTCAGAGATCAAGGGTCTGTGCCCTCTGTCTAATTCCCACCTGGGATTTGGTTCTGGACTACTGCCCCCAAGGACACTGAGCTTCCTCCTGCCTATGCCCCTCCCCCACATGGAGCCTAACCTCCAAGTTCCCCAGCTTCCAAGAAACTCAGTGCTCCAGATTCTTGACTGTCCAGGGCCCCAGCCCCTTCCACTTAAATCTCCAGGCCTCTCACATTGGATTACATAGCTTCAGACCTCAGGACTCTGGGCCCTCAGCCTTGAGTTCACCAGACACCTGTAGTCCAGGAAATCAGCTTCTTTCTTCTGTCCCTCCAGAACCTGCAACTTCTCCCTCCTTGTCCTAAAGACCCTCAGGGATAGAGGGCCCAGCCTCTTGGGGACCAGGTGTCCAAATCCTCCCTCAGGCCCTAGGACATCCAATCTCTCAACTGCCACCCCTAAAAGGTTCCAAAGGCCTCTCTTAGCCACAGGGAAAGAAACTTCCTCCTTCCAGGATCAGGCACAGGAGGGCCTAGAGGACAGCAGAACAGGCTCTAACCTTGCCCAGCTGTCCCTGCAAGAGGCCCTGAGGACCCAGGAGCCCAGTTCCTGGACACACTTCTTTCCCAGGTACACAGGTCCAGGTCCCCAGATGTTCCTCTCTCTGACACAAAAGTCTAGGTGGGAAGCTCCCTCCTCCCTCAGACCCAGGAGTCCGGTCCCCCAGCCCCTCTTCCCACAGACACGGAGTTCAGGCTCACTCACCAGCGGTCTTTGCCGAGAACCCCGAACGAGAAAGATCCGGCTCTGGAGGTGGATTAAGTCCGACACCTGGAAAAGGCTAGTCAGAACACAGGAGGGAGGGAGAGAGAGTCAGCGTCCAAACTCAGCCCGGCTCCGCCCTGCCGGGACCCAGGCGACCAACCCGCCCGCCGCGGGGGCTCGCCCAGAACTCGCGGCCAGGCTCTGCAGCCCCGGCGCCCTCCCAGCGGGGGCGGGGATTTGGCCGGGAGCCGGAGAGGTCCCGGAGGTGACCCCGGGGAAGCCCCACCCCTTCTTCCTCCCCAGTTCCCAAACGGCGGGGGCAGGAATGGAGGGAACCCGGTAAAAGTGCACGCCCCGCGGCCGGCGTGGGTGTGAGTGATCTTAACCCTGCCCAAGCCCAGGAAAGCCGCGGGGCCGGCGGGCGGGGGGGCCCTGGGCGGTGGCTGCGGGGGCGGACGGCCAGGCCGGGCGCAGCGTCTCCGGGCCTTATAAGGGCTTCAAGTCATCCCAGCCATCTGGAATGTGGCGGGGACCGGGGGCGGGGGGGGCGGTGCTGGGATCTTCGCCCCGCGCCGGCCTCCGGGAGGGCCCGCCCCACTCGTGGATTTCGGGGGAGGAGGGTCCACCTAGGACGAAAGGTCTGAAGCCTGGATTTCTGGGTCCTTCTGGGTCCCTAGAGCAGGGATGGGAGCCTGGACCCCAAGAGGGTCTCTGGGAGACGAGTGGCTGGGAAGCCGGACCCCTGGGTTTGCACAGCGGACCCCCCCGCCCCACCCTCCCGAAGCCGGAAACTGCGATGTTGGAATCCAGTCCAGAGATTAGTAGCCACACCTCCCACCACCCCTCGGAAGTCAGGTCCCTGGGTGAAGGCTGGGCCTCCCGGGCCACCTGGGAGGTGCTACGCGGGACTCGGCCGCCTCCTCCCCCCACACGCCCTTTGAAAACCCGTTAGGAGGAAGTCAAGACCGGCCTACACTCTGGCATTCCAGAAAGCGGGTACTGCTGGGTCCCAAGCAGGGAAGGAGGAAGAGCGCGAGCCACAACTCCAGAAGTGCCCCCAAGGAAGGAGGTGGGTAGCGCAGGGACCACCCGGAGGGGAGGGGTCCATCTCCTATCTCCCGGCTTCCAGCCGCCACCTGAGGTCAGAACTCAGGAATGCACCGCCAAAGACAGCCGGAGAGAGAGGAAACACTAATTCGGCTTCTCCGCGCTGCTTAAGTGCTCCCCCGGCCACGCCCATCCCCTCTCGCCACCTCCACGCCAAACACCACACCCCATCACTCAGACTGAGAATCACGTCCCTGAACCCCAGCCTCCATTCTCAGCAACCCAAGGACGCCGGCCTCAGCCTTGGCTTCTCTCCGCCCAGGACACCAGCCTCCCAGTCCTCGCTTTTTGGCCTTTGGGGCCCAAAGTTCGAATTCTGTCCCCAGAATGGAGGGGTGGGGAGCGGGGAAGGCCACTCTCTTTCCCAAACCCAAACTCCCAACTCTAAGCCCCTCCCCTCTGGAAGACCTTCTTCTACTAGGTATCAGCCCCCTTCAACCAGAGCACATAGGGGTCCCCATCCCTCTCAAACCCAGGAGCCCAGACAGCCATGTCCCTCCTCCCTCAGACCCAGGATTCCAGGCCCCCAGCCCCCTTCTCCTCCAGACCCAGGAGCCCAGGGTCCCCGCACCTCCTCCCTCAGACCCAGGAATCCAGGCCCCCAGCCCCTCCTCTCTCAGACCCAGGAATCCAGGCCCCCAGACCCTCCTCCCTCAGACCCAGGACTCAGAGCCCCAGCCCCTCCTCCCTCAGACCCGGGAGTCCAGACCCCCCAGCCCCTCCTCCCTCAGACGCAGGATTCAGGACCCCCGTTCCCCTCCTCTTTCAGATGGATGACCTGTATGAGTGCAGGTCTCAAGCCCTGTCCTCTCCAGAACCCGATCCTGCTCCATGCCCTAGTCTTTCTAGAGAGTCAGACATTCCGGACCCCAGCCCTTTCCACCCTGTGCACCCAGGAATCCTGACCGCAGCTTCCGCGCCGGGGGGGTCCCCGCAGCCTCACCTCTCCCGCAGTAGCGGCTGCTGCGGAGCAGAGGCGGCAGCTGCAGACTCTAAGGGTTTGCTTACTGGGTGGGGTTAGCGGGCTGGGGCGGGGGCGGGGCCGGGGGCGGGGCCGGGGACCCGGCGGGAGCGCGGGTTTCGGGCTGAGAAAGGGACTCCCCGAGCCGGGGTATCCCAGCCCCACCCCCGAGGCGGGGCCAAGAAAAGACCACGCCCCTCGCCGGGTACAATGGACCGAGCCTCCCCAGCCAAGCCAGTGGTGGGGGTGGAGGGCTGAGGTCACTGTTGCCGTGGTGACAAAACAGGAAGACACAACAGCTGGCGGTGTGGGGGCTCCTGGGGCCTGCCCTCCCCGACTCGGCCCTAGCGCAGTCTCCAGGCGCGGCTCGGGAAGGCCGTTGCCATGGCAACCCCTCTGTTTAGCGTCTGTTTAGGACGAGCCCCCAGCCCAGGTCCCCCACCCCAGTCTCACCTCACTCAATCCTCTCTCTCCCTTCCGGCCCCCTCCCCTCCCCGTCTGCTCCAGCCCCGCTCTTCCAGGACGGATGAAATCTTGGACATCTGGGTGGCAGCCGGTTGGGGGACTAGGCCTCTCAGTTTAATGGGGTCTGTGGGCTAGGGTCTCTGTCTCCTGGGTCTCTGAAAGGCGAAATAGTTGAGGCTGCTGATCTCTAGGCTTTAACGGGTTTCTGGGCTAAGGTCCCCGACTCCTGGGTCCCCAAATCCTCATTTATACTGTGTTAGGGATTGGTGGGCGGGACTCCTGGGTCCCAGATGTCACAGTCGATGGGGGCAGGGGAAGGGCTGTTGATAGCAAAACGCCTGGATCTAGGGCGGTGGGAGTCGGAGGCATGGACTCCCAGGTTCCAAATGACGCCTAGGCTGGAGGCCAAGATTCTTGGCGCAAAAAGCAATCAAAGCTCAGACTCCTGGGTTTTCATCCGCTCAGATGTGGTTGCAAGCCGAGCCTCCTAGGTCTGGAACGGAGAGATATTTTTGGCCTGCATTCCTGGTTCCCGGATTGAGGGAGGGGCTCAGGAGCTCGATGAGGACCGGGCTGGGGGGCAGGGGGCTTCAGATTCCTGGTTTCTGCAATATGGGAGGCGCCCGAGTCGCTGGTCTGCCCGAGGCCCACAACAGGGAGGGGCTGTGGGGTCCTTTCTTAGGGCGACTCTGGGGCCCTGAAACTGAGGGACGGAGTCCAGAAGCAAGCTGAAGCTGAAGGTCGGGATGCCTGCCCGGGGTAGGGGCGGGGACCGGGACGCCTGGGTCCCTCCCTGCTGGCCCTGCTCACTCACCGCGCTCTGCAGTCGTCCCTGGCGCGGCCTCGCTCGCGGCTGCCTCTGGGCGGGGCCTGGTGGCGGCTGCGGATGCTCCACGACGCTGAGCTAACGGGGCGCTGCTGGGTGCCTTCCAGGAGGACAACTAAGGAGGCTTTGAGACCCAGCCCTAGGGTGGAAGGCGCGCGAGTCGCGGCGGGGTGGGGTGGTCGGAAGGGGTCCGGGAGCCTGTCTAGCAGGCTGCGTGCCTACGGAGGTGGGAGGGGCTGGAGGGCCTAGAAGCGGTGAGCTCGGCAGTATGGGGGGGGTGGCATGGGGGGTAGGGATGAGGAACGTGCCTGCCCACTTTTGTGCCCCCGCAAAGGGGATAGGCACAGACCCTCTCTGTCATTCTGTGCTCTGCATAGGGGAGGGGGTCTCCATGAGCCAGGCATCCCGGCCCTGCCTAAGGAGTCAGGACACGGTGCGAGTTGGAGGTTCTCCAGCGTGGTCCCCGGGGTTCCACTCAGACACCTCCTTGGCCCCCAGTGCAGAGGCATCTCTCTCCCGCTTCCTGCCCCAGTCAGTCACCCTCTTTGACCCCCTAGCGGCACTCCTGAGATACCCTAAATAGTCCAGGGGTAGCCTCCACCCACACAATTTACTATGTTGTGCTCTCTGGTGGAAGTGTTTTTCTTTAGGCACGAAAACCCCAAAACAGCAGAGTTCAGGGTAGCAGGAAGAGGAAGCAAACATTGAAAGAATGAGTCACAGGGTGTGATCTTGAGAAGTGATACCTTAGGGTTCCTGGGTATGTATAATCTGGCACCATGCATGTGCCCCTGGTTCGGAGTGTTTGCCCATCCTGTAGGACAGCCCCCAACACCAAGGATGTTGTGTCCAACCTGGCACTGTAATGCACTCTCCAAACAGGCTATACCTCTGTTTTATGAAGCTCGCTGCTTTGGGGTGATGGGGTACATGGGCCTGCCCACCCACTTCCTAATAAATGGAATTCCTTGATCAGAAGCAATATTGTGTGGGTCAACATGATGGTGAAGAGGGCCATTCAGTGGGTACACAGATGCTGCTGTTAGCGGGAGTGGGTAAGGAAAGGAAAGCAAATAACAACCCAGATTTAATTATTCCAGGGAGGAAAAAGTCATTGCTCAATTCATGATGGTGGGAGCCCAACATAATTCTCAGGTGACCAGGTGTTTGGCTGGTGTCCCTAGGAAACCTACCATGCTGTGGGCTCAGCACTGCTCAAGAAAGCACTTTACTTAGTATTACTGACTTATTACAAAGGATGGAACTCCAGAACAGCCAAATAGAAGAGACACATAGGGCAAAGTATGGAAGGAGAGATGCAGAGCGTCCATGTAGAAATACCACCTCCCAGCACCCTGATGCATTTACCAACCTGAAGGTCTCTGAGCCCTGCTGTTTAGGAATTTTATGGAAGTTCCATTACATGGGATGGTTGATTAAATCATTGGCTATCCATGATCAAGCTCAATCTCCTCCAGGGAGGTCAGGGGGTAGGGCTAAAAATTCCAACCTCCCAATCACAGGATTGGTTTCTCTGGCAGTCAGCCCCCTCCTGAGCCACCTAGGGGCTCCCCGTGACTCATCTCGTTAGCATAAACTCAGGTAGGATCGAAAGGGGCTTATATTGAATAAAAGATTCTCCTCTCACCCAAACCACTCAGGTATTACACGGGTTTTACGGAGCTCTGTTCTATCAATATCATGTGGATCTTTCCATACATACTCCAGGTCCATCTGAAACTTGCATTCATTCATCAACAAATATTTATGAGTGCCTCCAATGTGAGCACAAAGCAGGCTAAGGAATATCTCCTCTCGTGGAGATTTTATCTCATTTGTTAGTGGCAAAGGGCTCGACATGTAATAACTTCATCTGCATGGGATATTCCCACTGTCCTCAGACTACCTGATTCTCAGGTAACTTCCTTGAGGCGACAGCCTCCCCTATTTTCATGGTGTTTATCTCCCACGCTCTGGCATGTGTGTGTCTTAATAAGACATACAGTGTATCTATCTGCTCCTTCCTGCTTTTCAGGTCTTATCTTTTCAGGTGTTATCAGCATTATGTCATATATGCAGTTCAAGTATCTTAAAGAATAGTTGGAGAGTTAGTGTAACCCCAGGAGAAGGTAAGACAATATTGCTATTTATCTGTGTTAGTGTCCTAGGGCTGCAGTAACAATCATCACAATCCTGGTGATTCAGAACACAGAAACTTATTCTCTCGCAATCCTGGAGGCCAGAAATCTGAAATCGAATTATCAGCAGGGCCTCACTCACTCTGAAGGCTCTAAGGAAGAATAGGTTCCTTGCTTCTTCCAGTTTCTTGTAACTGTGGGTTCCTGGTCTTGTGGCCTCATCACTCCGGTGTCTACCCCCTGTTGTTATGCACCTTCTCTTCTGCTCTTCAGTCTGTTTCAAATATTCCCACCCCCCCCTTATTAGGATATTAGGACATTTACCATTGGATTTAGGGTATACCTGGATAACCCAGGATGATCTCCTCTCCGCAAGATCCCTAAGTTCATCATCACATCAGCAAAGACCCTTTTCCTAAATAAGACAGCATTTATAGGTTCCAGAGATTTGGATGTGGACATATCTCTGGGGCTACTATTTAGCTACTACACCATCCCTAATGAAAGCAAACTGCATCTAGTTCCTCTGTCTATTGTGATAGAGATAAATGGATTGGCCATTCTAGATGCCAAGGGCTGGGTTGATTTCGTCCAGCAGGGAGATCGCACCTGGAATAGTAGCTGCAACTGGAGTTACCCTGCTGGTGTCCCGTATACCCAGCTGTGAACCTCATGGAAGGGGGGAAGAACAAGGGGCATTCCGGTCTTGTGTGTCCAGATCTCAGTTTTCCCCAGAGAGGTTGGGTTTCTTGAGATGATGGAAACCCAGGACTCCGGCACCACACAGGAGGGAGACTCCTAGATGCTGGCTCTCTCAGTCATCACCACCCTGCTCCAGCTCCTCCCTGCTCAAGTCCAACCCTTGCTTTAAGTCCTTTGGAAGTATTCCACAATCAGAAAATCAAATTCCCCTATCAAAGCAACTTCAGCCTCTCCTTCTTCTCCTCCTTTTTTTTTTTTTAAAGTAGGCTCTACACTCAACATGGGGCTTGAACTCACAACCTTGAGATCGAGAATCACAGGCTGTACCCACTGAGGCAGTCAGGCACCCCAAAGCAACTTCTTTAAGTATTCTTCTCTTGCCTTCAGTGAAACAAATATACCCCTGGAGCACCTGAGTGGCTCAGTTAAGCTTCTGCCTTCGGCTCAGGTCATGATCCCGGGGTCCCGGGATGGAGCCCCACATCGGGCTCCCTGCTCAGTGGGGAGTCTGCTTCTCCCTCTCCTTCTGCCCTTCTTCCTGCCCCCTCCCCGTGCTTGCTCTCTCTCAAATAAATAAAATAAATAAAATCTTAAAAAAAGAGAGAGAAACAAATTACGCCTCCCGCCAGCCTATTCTCTGGCCATACCACCTTTTTGTCATCTACTGACCTCCCGGTCACTTGCCCTCATTTTCCACATGGTTTCCTGACATTCTCTAAAGAGCTTCCCAATTGATGTGCCATGAGCAGGTCATAGGTGGGCTGGCGGACATTGATTTCCTCGGCCCTCAGAGTGGCCTGGTTGCCTCTGTCTATAGCAGGCTTATCTGTTTACCTCAATGAGCTGTAAAAATGTCCTCGTGTTTCTATTTTCCACATGATGGGAAGGC